GTTAATCACTTCCTTACTTGTGTAAGGGCCCCTGAAATTGAAGACGTGAGACAGTACCCATTACAGGCCTATCAGCGAAAGCTAAGTTTCTGTCAATTTCTGGCTTCATTTGCATCTACTTGTTCTGCAGTTTTAGTATTTAGGCATGATTAATGCTAATCGACAGGTTGATCGATCAGTTTCTAATGCATATTAGTATATACGCTCACATATTCAGTTACATATGAAATTCTTATGAAAATCATTTAATTTTATGCCTCGACTGAGACTTGAACCTGTGACTATTGCAGTATAACCCACAATAGGAGCTCAGTTATTACCAACTGAACTAGGGACGCTAATCCCTAATTTATATAATTATTTTAAATAAATAAACTAATATAAATAAGAAAAATGAAAATTATATGCGAAATTTAATAGATTTAATTATATAGAACTTAGCTTATAACACATCAAATATAATAAAAAAATTTAATAGAATAATTATAATAATATAAAATAGGTATTAAAAATATTATAGAAGTAAAAAACTTAATTGTAATTTTTTCTTTCAAAGATTTTAAGTCTTACTATTTCTTATTATTGAAATATATTTTCTATAAAAACTATAAATTTATTTATTTGAATTACCTCTTTCTATTTTAAGTTTATTTTTACTTTTAAGATTAAAAGAGTATATTAACTTTTTTTAATTTTATATACTAGAAAATAAAAACTGTTATTAAATCTGAAATGGTTTTAACTAAAAAAATTTACATTAATATTTGCTTTATTTAGACTTTTGTATAATTGTAAAGACAATCTATATTAACTGAATTATTGAACAAGTAGATAACAGATATTTTATATGATATATTATTAGTATTATAGAATTTTTCACTTTATTTTAGATTAATAATTACATTATCTTTTTATATTTACCTTTAGTTAAGTATAAATTCATTTTATATTTAAGAAGCTTATATAATTTCTTAAAAACATTTTGTTTTTTAATCTCTACTATAATAAACCTTTTATTATATATTTAAGATAATTTATTACTTTGTCTTCTTTATTTATTTTATAATTTTTAATATTAACTTTTTTGCAGAAAACTTTATTTAAAATTTCTAAAAATATAATAGTATATAGATATTAGAATTATTGAATTATTTAGTCAGTAATTACATATTGCATTAGGATCATTTTTTTATTTTACAATAATTTAATAATATATTCATATTTTTTATTTTATTTTTTTTTGGAATTTTGCTTAGTTTTATAAAAGAAAACATCAATATAATTCTTTCAATTATATGTTTTTATTTTTAAGTAATAAGAAACAAACTAAGGTATGTAATAAATAAATGAAGAAAATTATTAAGTATACATATAATAGCTAATCTTTATTTTCTTTAGTCAATAAAAAAAGCAATAAAAAGTAGGTTAATAGAAATGAAGAAATATAAGTTAGTTAAATTTATAAAATAAAATAAAAAATATGAAATGTGTTCATTATCTTTTCATCTAATATATAGTATAAAAATTCCATTATCTTTTTTTCCTAAATATTTTTTATCATTTAATACTTCTTTTTCTTTTTTTAATTCTTTATCCTATCTTTTCTTTTTTTTCATTCTGAATTCTTCTTTTTCTAACTTTCTAATAACTTAACTAACTTCTTCTTTTATATTTCCCTTTCTCCTACTCTAATTTCTTTGCTTATTTAGAGATCAGATAATATATATCTGCTGCAGTAACCTTAATGAAATTTAATTACTGTAGAGTATTCTACCTTAGGTTTTTTACAAATTCATCCCATATTTACAAAATATCTGAGTAGTTTAATCAGAAAGTATTTTGTATAGAAGTGGGTATCTTATATAGATTAAATGCACTATAATGATCTGATATAAAATAAAAATTTATAACACATTTCACTTTGTGTTACTTAGTATTTATAGTTAGACCTCCTAATAATGATTGTTAAAGGAAATAAAAAAACTTCTCATTCTAGAATAACTCTTAAAAAATGACAATAGTATATTTGTAAAAAGCTAATTTTTTTATATTTTTTGAACCAATCTGGTAGTATTCATATAACTACAGGTTATTTTGGCTTACAACCAAGTCAGGTTCATGATTAGAAATATAAAAAAGATTAATTTAAGCTTTAGTATCTTATTTATTAAAGTTGCATAATGGTAGACAGCCATTCTTTTCAGATTTAGAGCAAGTATTAGCAAAGTAAATTTTAGATTTTCAAGCATAAAGTTTGTCAATTACTAGAAATATAACAATAAAAAAGGCTAAAGAACTTGCACAAACTGATAATTACCAAGAAAAATATCCAAATATTTTTTTCTTTAAATTTTCAAGCAAATGGATGGATTGTTTTATGGTTTGTCATAATCTTTCAAATAGATGAAAAACAACAGTATTTCAATATTTACCAAAAGATTTAATTGAAAAGCAGCAAAGTTTTTAAGTTTTGTTTTATATAAAAGAATACAGTAAGATTATCTATTAAAATTTATTGAAAACATAGATGAAATACCTATAGTTTTTGATTTACCTAATTCATATACCTTAAAAAAACACAATTATAGTTCTATTAATATTAAAACTACAGGTCATGAAAGAAGCACTTTTACAATTATTTTAGGTTGTATGGCTGATTAATCAAAATTACTACCTGTTATTATTTTCAAATTAAAAAACATATCTCGAGAAACTTTTTCAGATAGCATATTTATTAGAACAAATGAAAAGGATGGATTAATGAGAATGAAGTGAACTGGTGGGTAAAAAATATCTGGTTTAAAAGAATCACTAATTTATCATCAAATCCTAGATCACTTCTTGTTTTGAATTCTTTTTGTAGACACTTAGTTGATTTTGTTAAACAAAAACTTAAAGAAAAAGAAACTAATATAGCTGTAATTCCTGGTGGATTGACATCTAAGCTGCAACCACTTGATGTAGCAATTAATAAAGTTTTAAATCTCATGTAAGTTTTATTTATACTTATAATATATTATAGATATTATTATTAAATTATTAAATAATAATTATTTAAGTTATCATATAATTTTTTATTTACAGATTCGCGAATTTTATAATAACTGGATGACAAATGAAGTTCATGAATTAACTTCAGCTAAATGAATCAAACCTTCTTATTCTTTAGTATGTTCATGGGTAAAGGATGCATGAGAAAAAGTTAATCCAAATTTAATTTGTAAATCATTTAAGTGTTGTGGAATTTCAGTTAAAACAGATGGTATAGAAGATGATGAGATTTTCGATTGTGATAATCTTCTTATAGAAGATAAAGAAAATTTTAATGAAAATGATGGAGATAATGAATTACTTGGAAAAGGGGAGGATGGTGAAGATAATTATAATAATTGGGATGAATTTTAATAGTTGTAATTTGCAAATTAATGGTTTTTGCAAAATTTTTTTTTTTCCCTTATGATCCCGGTACTTTTTGTATTGGTTTATCACTTGTCTAAGTTTTATAACGATGTTGTTAATAATTCCTTTATTATATATATAATTTGATAGTTTAAAAAAAAAAAAAAATTTACTTAGCTTATAATATTCTTTTATAATTCTAATACAGTAATTATAATAAAAATTCGTTTATAAATTAATAAATAAAAATCAATAAAATCGCCTATTACTCGGTTCAAAAAAAAAACCACCATGTAAAATACCCGGGTTTCTTACAAAATTTTGGCCCAAAACCCTGGGGGGTAGTTTACACAGGGGGGGTAGTTTAGTCAGTTAGTGGCTTAGACATAATCTTTACTATAAATAGTTACACAATGATAGGACCCTTTTTTCCTCATTCAATTCATCAAGAATGATATCGTTGACGGAAGATTGTATTTATCATGTTTTACAAAAGCTTAAGGAAGATAGGGAGAAATTATTTAATTTTCTATTCGTTAATAGATATTTTTGTAAAACTGTCGTACCCTTCCTTTATTCTAACCCCTTTGGTCAAGAATTAAATCATCAAAATGAATGTTTTTTAATCAATACATTTTTGAAACGTCTTGATGCGGAAGAGAAAAGTTACTTACGAAAAGTTAACATTAACCTATCAGATGAAACCGAAAGAACACTTTTTGAATATGAAACATATTTGGAAAAGTTATCACTTAACGATTTAACGGTTTCAATTAGAATTTGGCTTATGTCTCGAATTAATGAAGAAGTTTCTTTTGTTGATCAAAAACCACGAAGCACAATCCAAATGAGACTTGGAGGTAGCATCCTTTATGATGATGATGATTATTATGATGATAAAGATACAGAAATAGCGGTACAATCAACGCTTTTTCACTTGTTTACAAGAAAAAGTCGTAAAATGAAATCTTTGGGAATAAAACCAATAATATTCAACTCCGAATTCCTAAATAACCGATTTTTTAATGAAATTTCAAGAAATTTATCGACCATCAAAGATTTAAAACTTTGTTTGTTCACCGGATTTTTTGATAAGATACGAGAACATTCATTGTTGGAATTTTTAAATACCATATCAAAAACTTGTAGGCACATTACAGAATTAGGGGTTATCATTGACGAACAATTTGATAAAGGTAAATTCCCCTCTTATATTATCAACATCATTAATAATCAGAACAACCTCTTAAAATTTACCTTATCCGAGCCGAGGTACATTGGGTCAAATATAGTTTTATCATTGGAATCGCAAAGAAATTCTTTAACGTCAATTCAATTAGATTTCGTTCATTTATGTCATGATCATATCTCCGTTCTGGCAAATTGCTCGAATTTAAAAAATTTAAGGCTTTATTACTGTGGCGGCATGACCTTGGATCATTGTAACCTAATTTTGGTTAAATCTATATGTAAAGTTGAAAATTTAACCATGGCGAGAAATAGATGGTCAAAAGATATTACGATTTCTATTATTAGTACCCTTGGACGATCTTTGAGAAGATTATCATTTGATCAAATATCATCCGAAACTTTGGAATCAATAATTGCTTATTGTCCAAATTTGAAAGTCTTGGAAATTCAATTTGGAAAGTTCGATTATCTCTTATTAAAAAGAATGAAGATTGATCATCTTATTATTCATCCAATTTTTGATTTGTCTTTAGATTTTAAAGAACTTTTACAAGATTTAGGGAGAGGTTTACCTACTACCATCAAACATTTTAGTTTTATCACTCATAATCCTTTATCTTCGGATAATTTGGAAATCTTCTTAGATAATATTAATTCTTGTTTGGTTAGTTTGAACTTTTATTTTGAAATGAATGATAATCTATTAAAGATTATTTTGAATTATATTTTAGAGAAGAAAAGTTTAAAATATTTGGGCATCAAGAAATTTATTTCATTAGAAACCTCCATGTACTCTCTGGATGATGAATTGATTAGAAAGATTAGAGATCTTGGCGTAGATATCTTTTTTTTCGAAAAAAATTACGAATCTGAAGACGAATTTTATAATTTGATGGCATAGAGCTGCCAACAACTGGACCTTATGCTTCTTGATAACCAACGCATTGAGATTGTGTAATACATTTCGTTTTGAAAATAAGGAAAAGACAAGTACTATAACAGTTTCATATAGGAGATAGTAATTGCTTTCAAAGAAACATCATCTTGAAAATCTGAAGGACGTGACGGTTTTTTTTTAAAAAAAAGAGGAATTGCCAGACTTTCAATTAGTATTATACATGAAAAAGAACATTGGTCTTTTTTATTTATATAAATAAATTTGGTTATCAAAAGTTTGTAATTAAGCAAACATTCTTTAGTACATCATATTATATTTATTATTGATACTAAACAAATATTCTCTATTAATAAGGTCATACGTAGGAGAATCCCGTTACCGAAGTCAGTTTATATGTACCATTTGCTTCAACGTTTAAGAAAAGTTGCGCGAGTATTCAATCATAATCCTGAAAATATACTACCTTAATGTTAATATGCCAAATTGGTATGATGGTTTTAAAAGCGTATGATGTTCCAAACACTGGTCGTAGATGTAGATAAATTGTGTAGAAGTCGTTGGATGAAATTTTGGACTCTTTCCATTTTGCATCCAAAAACCTAAATTATATGAAATATGTTGAGGGAAGCGAAATACTGATGGAGTGTGCGATGGACATATAGATCCCAAAGAATGAATGGCACCCACCAAAAAACCTCATGATGTCAATAAAAGTCAAAAATAGAAAGCAAATCCGATTGAAATATCTATCTATAAAATCGGTAGAATAATTTATTAACTAGAAATAATCAGTTTCTGGAAAAAGTTTGTTGCAACTTAAATGACACGAGCTGACCAACATTTTCAATTATATCCTTGATTCAGTGATCACTTAATATGGAAAGAAAAAGCCCTGAAAATGCGGAACATTCATTCAACGCAAAGTAGTTAACACAGGTATGTTTAATTAGTTGTCGTTAAATTTGTATGTACAGTATTATGTACATTACATATGAAGACCAACTCATTCAACATACTGAAAGAAAATCTCGTGAACACAAAAGAAAATCTATATTTATCGAAACTGAAGGCGCGTGCGTATGACAGTGCACAAGTCAAGTAGAAAATACGGATGTGAAAGATGATCGTTCACAAACGCTGTAAATCAGATAAGGGTGAGGATCACAATTGCAGAAGAGAACGAAAGAATCATTGTTTCAAGTTTAGTACACCTTTGGTATTTTCTCGGTAAAATATTTTTGTTTGAAGCAGTAGACTTGGGAGATCTAGTTTGTAATTAATTACATATTATATGTCAAAAATTACGTATTATATTTTTGATAAATAGCAACTATTAATTTTTATCATATAATTCTATCAATTTTAATCATTAACATTAATATATAATTTATATAATTTAAACAATATTAAATAATTATTTATTATCATATTGATTCAATTCTATTACTATAAGAATATATTATTATCTAATATAAATTTTATAAAAATATATAAATTATCTTTATTAATTATACAAAGTAATATTTATTTGTTTTATTGTAAAATCAATTATTATTTTAAAATATAAGATAATAATAGATTTTAAAAGATCTGTTATAAATCAATCTTTTAAATATTATAATTAGTTTGTAAATCTATTTATATAATTGATTAAAATTTTTTACAAGGTATAGATAAATTTAGTATTATTAGTTTATCTTTAAATGATTTAAATAATGAATTATAAGTAAACTAATTTATTATTTTTATATAATACTAATAGTTCTTTAATATATCTTTTCTTACATATATATAAAATTTCAAAACTTTTACTTAGAATATATTAATATTGATAGAAAAATTATCCTATAAAAAGTATTTAATTAAGCTTTTTTGATTTTTTTTAAAATTATTATATTATAATTATATTTTTTTTTTTAAATAAAAAGATTTAGTTATGATAATTGATTATATTTTATTTATTATACATTAATGTAAAATTGATTTTTTTATAAAATATTATAAAAACATAGTTATATCTGATGCATTAGATTTTTTACTTATAAAATATGCTATAACATATTACACCTATTTAGCAATTTAGTGAAGCTTAGATAATTGAAAAAATGAAGATAGTTTAATTGAAATATGTATTAAATAACACAATTAAAAAGGAATTTTCCAAAGCAGGAAATTGTCATCTGACATAAATTTTGATTGACTAGAATGCATGAATAAAGTGAATTAAAATTGTTTCATAAATATTGCATAATGTAATTTAAAGAACGATCTTTGAGAAATGCATTTGCTTTATTAATAAAGTTATCAACAATATTTTATCTAGAGTTTAATCCAATACTAAAATGTATTAGATACAATACTTTAATATTATTTTGTAACGTGAAATAAAATTTATTATTATTAAAAATCATTTTATGTTTTTTAAGAAAGTGATACATGAACTAAATAATTAAGTTTGCATGATCTTAGATACATTTTATTTTTTATTTTATCTTTATTTTATAAATTAATTATTTCTTTTTTTTTTTAAAATATGTTTTTTCTTTCAATTTGTTTATTAAATTATCTTTTTTATATATAAGTAGTTGGGTCATTACAATTATCATAAACGACTTGGATACAATACAATTTTTCAAATTTCAGAGGGTATATAGTAGTTGTCATTTATAAACTGCAATCTAAAATTTTAGATATCGATCTTCATATGATATTCATGTGATTTAGCATTTATTCACGTGACATTGCATTTTTTTTACATCATGAAGCTATTAGTATTTTATTATTTCATTTTATTTAATTCTGCCAATACATATTCAGGAATACAATGGTAAGATTTATACTTTTTGGTAGCATATTCTACCAATTTATCAGTTATTTTTTTCTTATATAAATCTATGTAACGTTATGCTTTTCTAACAAATTTTCTTATTGTAATTATACTAACAGATTCTAAGGCTGTAGAAATAACATATTGCAAACCTGATCAAGAATAATCACAGTTCTCTCAAGCATATTTTTTCGCCACTTCCTCAGTATCGTTCAATATAGTTTAATTCACAGTAAAACTTCAAGTAAAATATACATTTATGTTCAGCCTCTAGTATTGTTTCTTCTAATACGCTTTTAAAAACAGAAAATTTAGCTGTAATGAAATAATTTTTTATGCGTAACAATCTGTCTGATTTACATTTACAATCTTATTCTTACATAGCTTACAATCAGCATTTAACCCATCTTTCTACAATCCACGCTCAATTAACACCTATTTCATTCCTTTTGGTTCATTATTCTTATTGATAATTGATTGATGTTGATTATCTAGTCCAAAAACTGTGTCTCTCATTTTTGGTTGCTTGCTTCTGAATTTTAGATTCATCCTACTCACTATAAGTGCATCAGATTTATATATCACATAGTTCAAACTATTATCGAACGTAAAAAAGGCAATACAATTTGGAAAAATTGCTTCAAAAATTGGTATAGCTTTTATTTTCACTTGTTTGATTAAATGCTCACTCATCCAAAAACCTTTCTGATCTTTTACTGGTTGAAGATAAACTCAAGCTTCTTTAGGTATGAAAGGATTTTGTTGATGTTATTGTGAGTTCAATTTAAGTCGACCACATTTTTTCGTCAAGAATTTACTAACTATAATAGAATAACTGTTTCCTTTCTTACATAATGCCAATTCTTTAGACTTTACCCATATGTCTCATTTTTATCGTTTAAGTAAAATATACACTCATTGTGCATTATAAGAATTATTTCTTTTTTATTAGGTCCTAATGTTAGCAGTATCCATTTCATACTTTTATCTTCATACTTTACCATATTCTTTTCGTAGTTATAGATTTTATCTAAAAGTTTGCCAATATTTTACAATATCAGCATACTTATAGCCATCATAGTATATGCCTTATATAATACAGATAATATTAGTAATCTAGTTTAGTATTTTTAACTATCTATAATATACTTGACTTACCTTGTTTTTGTGATGAAAAAAATACCCAAGTACATTGAGCTAACGTGTCGCAGTTTCTATACTAATAGTTTTTTTTCTCATTATTTCCAAATCAACAAGTAATTTTTGTTTAATAAATGTTTTGAATTTTAGCAGAGTTGTATTTTCACCTTGTGATCGAATTTAAGTATGGCATTCTTTTGCTATATCTTTATCATCTATTAGCCGCATTATCTTTTGATGCTTACTTTGATAGCTTATTAGAAGATGATTATATTAGAGCCAATAATTAGTCCAATAACGAATAGTTTGTGCTCTATATGAAGTACTATCAATAAAAACTAATTGCATAGCTTCTATACTAGCTTTTGGTTTACCCCTTCCATTATCATCTAATCTTCTCAAAGATTACTTATTTTTTGTTAAATTCAGATACACTTAATGATTTTTATTTCTCTTTAAGTTTGATTCTCAAACTTTTAATCCTTTCTTTTAGATTAAGCTGATCATTATATTCATCTTTCATATTATCCAAAACTTCATCAAAATCATCCAGATTTAATTGTTTATTTATAAGCGTTAAAATATCTAAAGTTTCTTTTACAGCTCTTGTGAAAAAACCACTTAATCCATATTTATTGTAATAAGTTAATTTTTAGTTATTCTAGTAAGATAAGATCCACGTTTCTTTTATTCTAAATATGCATTATTTGACTAAACTAGCTTACTTTTATTTTTATATTTGTTTGGTAAATCAATTTCATTCCAACCACTATCATTTTCATCTTCCCAATTATCCTTATCATTAACTCATAATTTCTTTGCAAATCTTCTATTACTATTTCGTTCTTTCTCTTTAATAATAGTTTTTCTCTTTAATAAGTGTGTCATTTTTATTATAAATGGTCAAAGCGTGAGAAAATTAGAGTGAAATAATGAATTTTATGTAAAAATTTCGCATACATAGCACTGATCTAGTTAAATCCTGATTTTCCAAAAGCTAAATAAACGATTTTCCAAAAATCTTAGACAGAATTATCATAATGCAGACCAAAATTTTCAGGATAACGTCCAACATTATGCTGATCATTAATCTGAAATTTTTCATTTTGCTATATATATCATATAAAAATTCTTGAACTTTAATTTATAATAACCCCAAAAATTATATTATACCTTAAAAAAGTAAATTGATAAAAATGTTAAGCATGTATTATTCTATAATTTTATTAGTTTAAATTTTCAAATAATTGTTTTATTTTTAATTTATAAATTTTTAAAGTCATGTGATTTTTGTGAGGTTTATAGGTAACAGCCACCATAATACTATAGAAGTATAATATTCTTGCAAAATTAATAAACGTGTGACAAATTTTGAGTTATTGATTAATTATAACAAATAAATCGATAAAATATGGGGATTAGTATTCCTAGTTCAGTTGATAACAACTGAACTCTTATTGTGGATTACACTGCAATAGCCATAAGTTTAGATCTTAACTGAGACATAAAATTAGATGATTTTTATAAGAATTTCATATATAATTGAACATGTGAGCATATAAACTAATATGCGTTAGATACTGGTAGATTGATCTGTCGATTTACATTGATCATACTTAAATATTAGATTTGAAGAACAAGTGAATGCAAATGAAGCCAAAGATTGACAGAAACTTGGCCTTTGCTAATAGACCTGTAATGGGTACTGTCTCACGTCTTCAAATTCAGGGGTC